GGAATAGCAGTGGAGAAAAGAGCTGAACAAAAGCTAAAGAGCACAGGGAGTTGTATCAACACTGAACAGCCTAGTGCAGCTGGAACATGGGGTGCAGTGAGGCTGGAGCAAGAGAGAGCAAGACAGGCCACCAGCGGGGAGCTCGAAATCGGGCTGAGCTGCTTGAGCTGAGCCTCAAAGTTATGATAAATCATGGGAGGACTTTAGCTAAAGCGAGGGCCTATCTATGCAATACAAGATTATGGAAAGATGTGCTGGGGGTAAACAGGAAGTGGACTGGGTAGAAAGAATCTCTGTTGTCCTCTGGATTCTCACAGAATGGATACTAGAGAGTTCTGTCACATTTCCACCAGACATCTATTGGTGAATAAGACAGAGAGGGAGGTAGAGGGGGAAGACCCAAGTGAGAAAAGTACCTGGTGCTGTGGGAAAAAGTGAGTTTGGACTCAGTCTTACCTGGTTTCAAATCCAGGCTCAGGGTGACACTAAATGTGTTGCTTGTATTCCCTCTTCCTTGAAGGCTTGAGAAGCTGATTTTTTCCTCCCGGGCTGAGGACTGGACAGAAGAGAGCTGCTAGTGCTGGACAAATGGGGAGAGCTCTTTCCTTCACACTGCTGACCACTAAAGCTTCTGCTTCCCTTCCCAGCCATTCTCTGCAGTGTGGTCTTCATAGGCCTCCTGTTCACAAGATTCTGGATCATCAGTATCCTGTATGCAGTCTGGTGGTACCTAGATCGAGCCAAGCCTTGGCAGGAGAGCAGGCACATTGATGTACTACGGCGCTGTGTTGTATGGAAGTACATGAAGGACTATTTCCCCATCTCGGTAAGTATGGGTCTGGCTAGGGAGTGGTCAGGCCCATAGTCCCCATGTGACCCTGTGTGTAGTGAGCAGAACACTGGGCTTGGAGACAGGAGACAGGCTTTTACCACTATGTGGCCCAAGAAGAGTCAGTTTCTGTCTGACTGTTTTCTTATGTGTAGAGATCTGGAGCCAATATGAGGATTGATGTATGAATGAGATTTGAAGGGCTCTGTGGGGCAATTGCTGAGGCACACATATGTATCTTAGCACACAGGTGTAAAGCCCTTACACTTAGAGTGTAAGTTTTGGGGTGAAGGATTCAATTATAAATACAAGGCATCAAGACAGCATCTAGCCTACACTTTATCAGATGATGAGACTCACACTCAGAGAAGGATGAAGGTGTGATCAAGGACACACAGCAAGTTCATTTACTGCTTTAAATTGTGTGGTTAGCTCTGAGGATAGAAGCAGAGCAGAGAGCACTCAGGATGAATCCTGCCTGAACTCCAGTGTGCTGTGTATCCTAGGACAGAGCTTTGTCCATTCTGAATCCTAGTTTCCACACAAAATTGATCCCTTGTATTTTGCATGTCTCTTAGTCTCTTACTCAGGATACTTCATGCCCAGTTTAGACATGTGACTCTGTACCCCCAAATCAGACATTAGTAATGGAGGACCCTGAATTTGAGTGAACTGACCTTTTGCTCCATTCCTGAATCCCAGACAGACTAAACCCTTGGATGTAAGCAGCTGTGATGGTTAATTGTCTAGTGGGGACAGGAAGGGAAAGGCAGTGAGGACACAGAGAGGAGCCAGGCAGGGACAGGTGGCCCTTTCTGGACACAGGAGAGAAGAATGTATGTGGTGTCTCCTCTGAGGGTGGACATCATAGATTCTACTACCAGGTCTGCAACATGCCAGCTATATGACCTGGGGTGAGTTACACACGCTCTCTGAGCCTTGATTTCTCCATTGTAAATTAGAGATGCTGTCACATATGTCATTGGGTTGTATGGATTCCATAAGACATCAGGTCATCCTGGGACCTTCTAAGGACAGCATCTGGCTCTCCTTTCACACCTGGAGCTGCTGTCATTTGTACATCTGGCAGAAAAATGGTGCTGAGTTGCTCTGTGCCAGTCTTATCTATGTCTGTTCTGTCCCTAGTCAAATAGGGCACTGTTGACATTGTGGGAAACTGAATTGCAGAAATTCCACGTGCACAGGGTTGAGGATTGTAGGCCACTTGCAGTCCTGTGGGTGCACCAGCAGAGGGCAGGCAGTACCACCAAGTGGCCAGCAGAGGGAGAGATGACATGCACTTTGACCTCCCTGTCCTGGACTGAGGCCTGCAGGGGTTGCTGTGCAGCGCAGATTCTGGACTCTTGTCACCTCCCAGGAGAACGTTCAAGTCATCCACACAGCTTTACAGAGCAGGCCCTGCAGGGATCTTAGGAGGTCAGGAAGTAGAGGGGCCAGGGAGTCTCTGTTGTCTACTGAAAACAAACGCACAACTCAAAAGTTGTGAGGGGTTTTGTTCTGGGACCTTACTGAGGACTGTAGTCAGGAGATAGCCTCTCAGTAATCTCTGGGGAGCTGTTCTAAAAGATAAGGGAGGAGTCAGAACTTACAAATTTTGCTGGAAAAAACAAAAAACCAAAAACCTATGTAGCCAAATTTCAAAAGATTACTTGCCAGTCACAAAAAGCAGATGTCTCAAGTTAGTAATTTTTGTCCTTTTCTATGTAAGGGAAGATGGGAAAGTTTGGGCTCACTGCAATTATTCCTGTGATGTGCATCCTCACTCACTGTGACCAGTATCCTGTTTTCCTCCATCCGGAATTCCTTTCAAGGCCCATTGTCATTGGCAGCTACAGTGGCTGCTGGCTTGAAGGCAGGCAAGCAACATTCCTTGTCCTTACATCTCTGCTGGGTCTACTTCACATCACAAGCCTTTGCGCTGTGATTCTATGAGCTAGGGCCTAATGGTACAGTTTCTAGTGAAATTAGGAGACTACTTCTGAGCACTGGAGCTTTCTAAATACACCCTATGGGCTTCCTAAAGAGGTGATGGTGGAGAATCAGGCAGTGTTTCCCCCAGGACAAGCTGCCTTCACCTCATGCTGAAAATCAGTCCAGGACCTGGGTTTCTGCATGAAGATTTCATTATCCTAGAGCAGCATTATCTACCCAGGCCAAGGCCTGAGCAAGGGTGCAGTGCTGCAGGCAGGCTGTGACCTGGTGTCAGGAACTGCTACAGACTTGGCAGGACACCTCCCTGGCCCCTCTCCACCAGACCTGTGGGCCTCACCAGGGACTTAATGCCCCTCCTCCTGGCCCCCACACCCCTGTGCTCTGGGGTCTCTTACACTGAGTCACAGGGACTCAGGGGTCCGCCCCAACCTGGGACAGAACTCCAGCTGCCACAGTCCCTGGAGAGATGCTTACTCCCTCCTGTGATGGCTCCTTCATTTTGGGTGGGCTCTGCCTGGGATTAGGTCTCCCTTCACATAGGACATGAGCTTGTGTCCCTGTCACCCTGCTAGGAGTCCTACCTCTGCCTTGGGCAGGGGTCTTCCTTCCCTGGCAGGGGGCATTGGCCTCATCCATTCATGGGTCCGTTCTCTCCCTCTTCATTCCACGGTCTCCCAGAGCATCTCCTCTGCTCCAGGCCTGCACCAGGAACAAGGATCCTCAGATAGGCCATCTCTAATTTCAGGACACTCACATGGGAGTGTGATAGTACTTGGGCACAGGGGAGACATAGAAGAGGTCAGCACAGAAAGTCATCAGGGAGACCAGGGTGGTCACAAGGTGCAGCCCCAATTCACCAGGCTGCTGTCGCTGCAGCTGGTCAAGACTGCCTACCTGGACCCCTCCTGGAACTACCTTGCTGGCGACCACCCCCATGGGATCACAGCTGTTGGAGCTTTTACAAACCTATGCATGGAAGGCACTGGTTTTTCCTCACTGTTCCCAGGGATCCGCTCACATCTGATGCTGCTAAACTTGTGGTTCTGTGCCCCTATCTTCAGGGATTATATCATATATCATTATATCATTATATTAAATCATAATAGGCGGTGAGTCTTCCCAACCCTGGGTAGCCCAGGTAGATGAGGTCTGCTGGCATGGAGGAGGGATTTTAAGGAGGGCTGCCAATTGTTCTTGCAAGTGAATGTGTAGTGGAGAGGAAAGCTAGACTCAAGGAAGCTCTTCCCACAGCACTGTGCTTAGCAATCTGCTTGACTGGGGGTTGGGAAGGCCTGAAAAAAACAGTCCCACCCAGTCCTCAGAGAACTCCCTGCTGGGAACTGAAGTGGGGCCCAGCCTACATCCTCACCCACCATCCTGGCCCCCTTAAAACCATACTTCATCTTTTTCTTCCTTTCAGGGATGGTTGCTGCAGACAACGAGAGTGTTTCTCACATTCTGAGCAGGGAAGGAGGTGGCAATCTGCTGGCCTTCGTTGTTGGGTGCGTCCAGGAGTCACTGAATGCCAGGCCTGGAGCCTTCAAGCTGGTGCTGCGGAACCGCAAGGGCTTCATCAGGCTCGCCCTGACGCACGGGTATTGGGGAGAGGGCTCTGGGTTCAACTGGAGATTGGCAAGGACTGTAGTTTGGAGGGAAGACTGCAGAGACAAATGCAGATCCTATTTTGGCAGGGAGAGTCTCAAATCATTGACAATGAAGATTCTGTGTTGGTGATCCTTGTACTGTCTCATGCACAAATACCCAGAGAATATTCTAGAAGGAAGATCTTGTGAAGGGATTAAGTCTCAAAAGTCATATTGCTGAAAGTTTGCATTACATCTGAGACCTAGGGAATCTGGGACAATGGAGCTTGGGACATAGCTTAAAATTATTCTCCTATCTTTAAACATCTATGAAGAATACAAAGCCAGCCGGGCTGGAAGAAATTTTTCCAGAAAGTTTGGAATTGTTTTATATCTGCAGCTTTCTGGATTCACGATCGTGTTACAACTGCCAGACAGTGGCTCTGAGACAGGCCAAGTCCTGCTTACAGTCACAAAGCAAGGCCGTGGCAGGTCTGGGAGACACCCGAGGCCTCCTACTTTTGTCCCAGGACTCTGTCCTCTGCTCCAGTTCCCAATCACTAGGTCCCTACAGGAGGCTAAGTGACGAGCTTGTGCCTTCTTGCCCCTCCACATGCCCCTCTGTCTCCCTCTAGAGCAGCTCTGGTGCCGATCTTCTCCTTTGGGGAGAATGACATATATGACCAGGTTGAGAATTCTCCTGACACCTGGTTGTGCTGGTTCCAGGATGGACTTCAGAAGATCATGGGAGGCTCCATCCCTCTCTTCTATGGCCATGGAGTCTTCCAGTACAGCTTTGGTCTTATGCCCTACCGCCGGCGCATCACCACCATGGGTGAGCCTAGACCCAGGCTTAGAGGGGGGAAAGGGCTACAGAGCAAAAGGTGGGCTTGTGCTGCAAGGGAATATGGACATAGACCAGTACACACTTGACTTTGTGGAGCACACTTTCTAGAGTGTTAAACAGAGACACAGGCAAGTAACCCTGATGAAGGCAGTCTAGAATGAGAAGAGTAACAGGGGCATGAAGACCAGTAGCCACAACTGATTACTGAGCCCCTGCTTGTGTCAGGCACTGCATGGGCTCCTTACATGCAGCAGCTCAGTTTTCACACAACTTTTGAAGTGGGACACCCATCTCCATTTTATTGATTGCAACTTGAGACATGGAGAAGATAAATCACTTCCAAAAGATCATCCTGGCCTTTGTAACAAAGTTGAGGTTTGATCAGGGTGTTTGACTTCTTATTACACCAGAGAAGGAGAGTTTAATTTTGACCAGAGGGTCTTATAAGGCTTATTGGAGAAAGTGAATACTAGGGAAGGGCATTCCAAGCCTGTTAGAATTATGTGTAAAGTAGCAATTAGCAGGCTATGAAGGAGAGTCTGAGGAATTTCTCTGTAAATAGACTTGGCATGGACTTAGCACTATCTTTTCAGCTATTTGATCATCTCATTTGCTTTCTTATTGAGCTCCAACTAGGTTCCAATGGCAAAGGTGTGTTCATTTCCACTTATCCAGTCATTTCTTAGTTGAGTACAGGTAACCCCCCTACCAAACTTTCTCTGCATTGTGTGATAATATTCTCATGAATGTTTATAGTGTTACTGCCTCCAGACCATTCTCAAGAGAATAAGACATGACAGCTGCTTTCTGAGCCAAGCAGAGTCAGAGGGAGGAGGTTGATATGTCCTCCCATGTCCTCCTTAGAACAGGGGCACTGCAGGCCAGCATGGAGGGAGAGGGGGAAGAAGGATGATTGGGCTGTGGGCCACCTCCTCCCAGCCCTACAGGCACTTCCAATCATGGCATCTGAGACTCCCAGTTCCACATGTTCCTGAGGCTAAGAGCACATCCCCAGAGCTATGTACAACCTGGCATTGATTGTTCCTGCCTATGTGACCTTGAACAAGTTACTTAACCTCCCTGAGCCTCATTGCCTGAAAGGAATAATAGCAGGTTCTATCACCATAGGATTGGTAGGATGATATAGGAGATATGACATACAAATGCCAGCTGGTGGTATTGTTAACATATCAGAATCTTGAAGTTGCCTTAACATCTTTGAACCTATGACCCAAAATAGAATTGAAAGGGAGAGAGAAAGAGTGCTCACCTGCTCAGATGACCATGCTATTGGGAACCCCGAGGGTCCCTGCGCGTTCAGTGGTTCTGGCTCTGAGCCACCACTCACCTCTGTGTCTTGCAGTGGGGAAGCCCATCGAGGTGCAGAAGATGCCACATTCCTCCCAGGAGGAGGTGGACAGGCTGCACCAGTGCTACATGCAGAAGCTGGAAAATCTCTTTGAAGCCCACAAGCTCAAGTACAACATCTCCAGAGACCAACACTTGGAGTTCTACTGAGCACCTCCCCAGAGAAGGGGCTGCCCCAAAGGTCAGGGCTGGCATTAGGAAGGATGGAGGGAGGTGCTATGATCCCAGAAGGCTTCCTGGAGGTGTCTGTTGAACATATCTCTAGAGCCTTCACTGACTCCTGCAACTCCACCCCCTTCCTGGCCCTGGGTCATAGCTGACTTCTGGCAGAGAAGACCAGACTCTGGCATCAGTGATTTGCTCTCCTGCTATGACTCTTCTGCAAGGAACCCTCTCCTCGATCTGCCCACCTGAGAAGTGGAAGAAATGCTTGGAGAGAATGATGTCTGTGACTCTGTCCTCTGTGGTCCTGTCACTCAACGGGTAGGACAAGAGCAGCTCCAGTTAGCAGGTTTCTCTTCCTCTGCCTTGAGTGACAGCACAGAAGCAGCCCCCAGCTGCAGCCCCTTCTCCTACAAACTCCCTCATCCTGCATCCTGCCTGTCCTAGCTCCTCCCTTACTTAGCTGGAGAGGAGGATGAAGCCACAACCCCCCAACTCATCCTGGCACCTTTGAGATTCTGAGTCGTCTGAGCCCTGAGCTGGCAGTCAGATGGGCCCATGAGGTGGGGAAGGAGACTTCAGCTCTGTCACTGGCTGAATGACCAAGAGCAGATCTCTTCACCCTCCCTCTGAGTCTCAGTCTCTCTGAGGGACTAAGGTGATCTCTGACCTCAGCTCTGATGTCACATGAGTTGAGAGCTCTATGATGTAGCCCTTACTCCTCCTTTGTAACTTCAGCCCTGACCTTGACACAGAAGGATGCTACATAAATGTCAATTCATCAATGAAAGAATTCTGTTTCAGCCTTCTCTTCCTTCACCCTACTCCCCAACTGGGAGCCTCCCATTTAATCCCAGCCTGACCCTGCAGCCCTGCCGCTCTGTGTCCTCTTCCCAGATGGTGGATCGGATGGGCCAGAGAATGGCATGTTACTTCTTCCTCCCTGACCCATCAGCTCCAACTTACCACCTCTGGCCTGTTCTGTGGGAGACAAGGGGGAGGCTATGTACAGACACAGGGCAGACCAGCCAGAGAAAGAACATGAGGAGTGAATGGTCAGTGTCTGCAAGCAGGGCAGATGGGGACAAGCCTCTTATGAGAAGAATTCTGGGACCCTGGGTCTGCGACACCCATCATGAGTGAGGGACAGGATGGCAACATAGGGGCTGTACTATAAGCCCTCACACTTGTTGCAAGAAAATAGCTTTTCTTCCTCCAGAAGCTAATCAACCAATAATTATAAATGCATGGCATTTCAAGAATATAAGTTTGAGTCTAAATCTGGCTCAACTCTTTTCAGTGGCTCTGAGCAAGTCACATCCCCTCCATACCTCAGTTTTGCTATCAGAAAAACAAGTATCACAACATTCACCTTGCATCTTGGAGTGAAATAGATATAATGTGATAATTAGCCCTTCTGCATCTTGTGAGGAATGGCACAAGGTAGGTATAAATAGCATTTGCTCATAAATGTGCCCAGCCTCTCATGATGGCCTGTTCTGACTGATGACATGGGTGCTATAGGGTCCCAAGAAAGGGGGGAATCAAGAACAGTGGGATTGAGTAGGGGAGTGATAGCTTCCACCTAGGAAAAGGGAGGTAGTGACAGGTGGGTGAAGGAAGGCCAGGTTTGCCAAGGAGAGAAGTTTCCATCCCCTGCAGGTTTCCTTTGCTGGTAATGAACCACTGCAGACCTTTGTGTCTGAAGGCAGCAAGGATTTATTAGGTTCACACTTTTGTGGGTGGCTGGGTGGTCCTTCTAGGAGTTCCTGCCCTCCCACTTGCTTTGTCCTAGGACCTGCTCATCTCTTTCTCATGATGCTCTGTCACCTCAATTTAATCAATCAAGGTAATCACCTTCTTTGTCACATCAGCTCTGTCCCTCCCTCCATCCTGAATCCCTCCCTTCCAACTCATTGTCCTCATCACTGTCAGCTACTCATGTTGTGGGTTAACTTAGGGTGAAAGGGCCATGAGCATTAATGGATGAGCGGTCAACTATGTCCCAAGGGGGCTGGGAGTGACTGAGGGTTTCTGCTCAGTTCACTCATGAGGAGGTAGCCGACCTGTTCTACTGTAGGGGGATAGTCTCAGAGCCTTTAGTAGGGCTGGACAACCCACTCCCAAGCTCACCCACGAAACTTCTGGCAGAAGGCTTTAGAGCCCTGCTTGTGGGCTTGTCCATTAGCCTGGCCATTGCCACTTACCAGACTTCTCCAGAGCAAGCCAGTCACAAAAGAAAGAGACTGAGATAGAGACAGAGAGAGACAGACAGAGAGATGGAGAGAGAGAGCCATATATCTTCTGCTACCTAACCTCTAAGTCACTCACCATCAATTCTACCTTATTCTATCAGTTGGATGCAAGGCCCTAAGTCCGAGTCACACTCAATAGGAGGATGTGACACCTGGAGGTGATCACTGGAGGCATCTTGCAAGGTGCTACCACAGTGACAGTCTATGAGCCCTCAGAGGCTGAACTTGGCAACCCCAGTGCTGTGAATGCTGCAGGAGGCAGTCTACCTGGAGAACACAGGCTGAGATGCCCACACAGTAGGGCCCCAGGTGGGGCAAAGGTGTGAGCCCAGGTCAGAGATGGGAATCATGACTGTGAGTCCAGGCCTTACTGGGATGCAGTACAAGGTGCCATCAGACTGGGGGCAACTGGGTGGGGGATAGGGGGCGAGAAGAGACTGGTAGAGCCAGAGGGAAAGGTATCCCCTTCATTTACCACAACCTTGGAGCCACACAAAGAGGAAGCAGAAGGCATGATCTTAGAGGAGGGCTGCCTAGATATGTTCCTGAATAGGACTATTCGCCCTGGACTTTGTGTGAACAGAAGTGCCCTTTTATGTGTTAAGGACTGATACTGGGCTGTTTGTTACGCAGTTGACCTCCTCATGAATAGAGAGAGCCAGGAGCTGCACATCAAGGTTCCAAAATTACACAGTACCTGCTACCTGACACCCTCTCAGGGCCCCAGCCTGCCCAAAGGGACTTGCCCTTGTGAGAAGATCTCCCACTAACACACAGGCTGACTCACACAGACCGAGGAACACAGAGCTGTCAGGTGTGGTAGATAGACTCAGAGGCTCTCAAGATTGGACAGAGCTAGAGTCTCCTCCTGAAATCAGACTGCCCTTTGACCTGGAACAAGTTCTCAGACATCATTTCTCACAAAAGATAAAGGGCCTACTGGGGCCTAACCTGGTGACCCTGCTGGATGGTGACAAGAAGTGGGACAGAGGTCAGCCAGCACAGCTCTGCCAGCAGCCACATGGTCCAGCCAAGCCTCACCCTCATAGGGGGACTGGGCTTTGCTAGGGATCAGAGGAGGCAGAGATGGGAACATGGGAGCTGCTGAGGGAGCCAAGGCAGAGAGGAAGGAGAGGACAGAGCATATGTAGGTGAGACTTCCTGGTGAGGGTCAGGGTCAAGGTGAGGTTTAAGAAACAAGAGACTGAGGTTTAGGCCTTTGTGCAGCAAAGTTCTATTGAGATAGAGGATAGAGAGGGAGGAGGGCAGACAGGGTCCCTGAGGATGCCTGGCCTTCTGTCTGGGGGGCTACTGTCCAGTTTAGGGGTTAGGAATTGACCGCCCCCCACCCCAAGTAGGGAGGAGGGCTTGGAGGTGCTTGAGCTGGAGCGGGTCATGGACCAGATGGAGGGGCAGTGGATGCCTCAGGCTGGACTGAGCATCTGTCTTAGTGACCCCACAGCAGGGCAGAGTCAGCTCCCTGAGCCACTATCTAAGAACCCACTACATCCTGGGCTCTGGGTGGAGGCTACACACACAGTATCTCAATGTAACTGACAGTGACCTCTTTATGCAGATGAGGTTCACATCTAGAATCCCGGTCCCAGTGTGAAACCTGCTTGCGCAGGCGTCCTGCTCTCACCTTGCCTACTGTGGCCTCAAACTCGGGAGAACTGTACATTGAAAACAGCAGTGGCACCAGCTGTAGCCACGGACTCCCAACACCGTCTGCATTAAGTCCCCGCAAAACTCTCTTTTCCTCCTGTCTTCACCTATAGCAACTTCATCCATAAATGAGGGTACAACCAATGCCAGTTCTTCCTTACTCTTTCTGTTTGTAAATGCTTGGAAATGGATTTAAAAGACCTGAGAAGGTTTGTGTCAATCACCAACTTAGTTTGGACCTTTCTTAGATTTATGTCTTCCCCTCACTCTCTGCCAGAGAGCTAACCTGAGTGTTTCCTTCTTCAACAAGTTGAACAGGTGCCACATAAGTCATGTTATATCCCGAGTGAGAGAATGGATAGAAATAGATGGGCAGGAAAATTCCTTCTCTCAGCTATTTTAAAAGGGGCTCTGAATAGAACAAAGCATCATCAAACCCTGGTCTTATCAGTAAAAATCAGTGATGAAGGATCAAAAGGGCCACCTCCCTCAAATAGTGTTAAAAATATCTGATGATCTTGTTGGAGTTGCCCTAGATTAGTGGGCATATCACCTCATTATGTTGTGGTACAGGTCCAGATTTTTGTATTATTTCTTTTTTCTAACCACCATGGACTTTTCTTTGTTGTTTTTTAGTCACTAAGTCATGTCCAACTCTTTGCAGTGTAGCCCACCAGGCTCCTTTGTCCATGGGATTCCCCAGGCCAAAATACTGAACTTGGTTGCCATTTCCTTCTACAAGGGATCTTCTTGACCAAAGGATCAATGTTGTGCCTTCTGCATTGGCCAGTGGAATCTTTACCCCTGAGCCATCAGGAAGCACATCTATTTGTAAAATGCAATATAAATTACTCAGAAATGAAGAAAACAAAGAAAATGAGTTCAATCCTATTTTAAATTATTAGTTTAATTACACATAGAACTACTGTGCCACATTGCTCTAAAGTTTCTGAGCAGTTACTCTCCAACTCTGTACTTACCTTGTCAGGAACCAGTAACAGGCAGCTGGTGGACACAGGCAGGTCCTCAGACCACACAGGAGCTGCACTGCCCCAGGATGTACGCTGC